TGAATATATCTTAATTTGTGAAGCGTTAGCGAGCTGGCGAGGCCTGCTAGTTATATAGACATAATTATAATTGGGATTTTAGTAATCTTTTCAAAAAGAATCATTCTGTAATAAATACAATTATTAAATAAATATTAATACAGGGTGATGCAACAAAATCTGACACTTAACAAAAAGCAAACGAAATAAGCAATAAAAACAAAAGTTCTATATGCAGATACCCGACAGTTTATTTAGCAGCAGTTAGAGTTACGTACTACATTATTTTTCAATGTAACCGCCGTCGCTGGCGACGACCATCTCAAGGCGGGCGTGAAATGAGTCATACGCTTTGGCGGACATGTCCTTGTACATAGCGCCTCCACGATGGCAGCCTTCAGAGATTCGACCGTGTTGTGGGCGTGATGGTTGGTCTTGGCCTCGATCACACTCCAGAAGAAATAGTCAATGGGGTTGCAGTTGGGTGAGGAGAGCGGCCACAAGTCCGGCGACCATTGGTGAGAAACATTGTTGAGCAGCCACGCCTGGGTCGTCTTGGCCTTGTTCTTTCTTGTTCATTCGGCAGATCGTCGACTTGTCACAGCCCAAGGCGATTTTGGCGTAGTTCTGTTTTCCATCATTGTCGACTATCTCCTTGACGGCAGCGACCAAGTCGTGAGTCTTAACGGCCAAAGAACGAACGTTGTGGGCCTTTCGTTTGGCAGCAAACTCGTCTTTGTTCTCACACGCCTTCCACTTCTTCCAAATGGGCATGACCATGGTCCCCTTGAACCCAAACCAGGACATTACTTCCGCAGGCTTCTTCCCGGACCAAAAAGAAGCTACTACCGCTGTTCTGCGCTCATATTCCATCCGAGAAAAGGGTAGATAGAAAAACGTTAGTTAGTTGTCAAACTGTCGGGTATCTGCACATACAATTTTAGTTTTTATTGTCTATTTCGTTTACTTTTTGTCAAGCGTCGGATTTTTGCTCCAACACCCTCTGTGTAGCAATATTTTTCTTTAGGTCTGTTATTGAATTAAATATAAATGCGCAATTGAAAGCGAACACACAGACACAATTTAAATAAAATAAAAACGGACATATGTCACCCTATTTGTTTTCCATGTGCGCATTTTCCAATCAATTCATGATTCTTTCTGCTTTTAAACTAAATGTATTTTCTAACTAATTCATTATTTTAAATAGAAAAGCAATTTAGATCTGAAAGTTGATCATTTTGCCGTCAGCGAAGTGACAGGTGCCATATTAATAAGCTACAAAAATAAGATATTTCTTCCAGAACAAAAAAATTAAGTCTGGCTTGGCGACCTTAGTTCCGATCTGAGGACATAAAATCAAACAATGGATGTTATGTATAGCAACAAACACGTTTTTATTTATTTTTTTTTTTTACGAAAATGTGCAGTGGAAAATACCATGATGCAATTTCCCATCTTAGGTCTCTGGTTGGGATCTAGAATAAAATGAATATACAACATAAATCAAAGGAAGAATTATTATTATTAATAATAATAATAATAATAATAATAATAATAATAATCCTTTGATTTCGGGAGTGTACACATTTCTTTCCGGGTCCAGCCCAGAGACCTAAGGTTAGAAATGGCACCATGACACTTTCCAGTGACAAAAAAAAACAACAAATTTTACATAGATAAGCCCTTCGTAAAGTGTGGGATGTACTTGTGAGAACAATATTTTGTATCTCTTTTAGGCATGGACCCCCAGGAATTCCTTCAATTAGTCTACTGGAATCATTTCCAACCAGGCTCCGACTAAAACAGGTATTATCGATTTTCCCATGTGCCACATTTTTTAGATATCTATTTCAAAGTCCTTGTATTTTGACAGCTTTTTGAATATCTTCAAAGATACATTGCAATCTGCAGAGACAGATAAAAATATCTGGGCGGTTGGCTTTTTATTGTTCTGTCAGTGTGTATTGTGTAGTCCCATAGAATTGTAACAGGTCCTATCTCCGTAACCGGGTCTGGGTAATATGATAATTCCTGTTAAACCGTGTAATGAAGGCCGCCCTTAACGCACGCAGGTGTTCCCCAAGGTTTTATCCTAGGCCCTACTCTGTTCCTTATTTTCATTAACGATCTCCCCGATGTCATCAGTTCCCAAATAGGCATCTATGCTGACAACACTACTATTTACTCCTGCCTCAATAGCAAGTCTGGTATCGATGACAAAACTAACCTGGCTGTTAGTCTCGAAAAGGACTTCCAATCGGTTGTAGACTGGGGCAGGAATTGGCTGGTTAATTTTAATGCCTCTAAAACAAAACTGCTCTCTATTACACACAGCAGGGAACCATCCTTGCCACCCATTAGAATGTATAATGCTCAACTCCACGAGAGCACCTCTTAGTCACTGCTTGGTCTCACACTGTCCGCTGACCTGAGATGGAATAAATACATTGAATCAATAGCTTCATCCACCGCAAGGAAAGTTGGTTCCCTGTGTCGCGCAAAACAGTTTTTTCTCGCCCGAGTCCATCCTTCAAATCTACAAATCAACCATTCGCCCTTGCATGGAATACTGCTGCCATATATGGTCTGGTACCCCCGCTGTTCGTCGTAAGGTCCTCAACAAGATCCAGAGACGGATAAGCAATGTGGTTGATCCTGATCTGGCATCTTGTCTTCAGTCGCTCTCTCTCTCACAGATGTATCGTCGCCTCCCACCCTCTGTCTTTTCTACAAATACTTTCACGTTAACTGCTTCGACGAGTTACTTTCTCCAGTACCCAGACTGCATGAAGTTAAGCGTGCTACTAGGCTAGCATCACCATCCCACCATTTCACTGTCGAAACTTAAATGTGGCCGTCTCTTCTACTCCAATAGCTTCATGTCTCGCACCTTCAGTCTGTGGAATGCCCTCCCTATTATTTGTTTCCCTGATAGCAAATAATCTCCAGCTATTTAAATGTAATGTCAATCGACATCTCCAGATGCCCTGACCTATTCCCTGTCCTTCTCTTCATCCTTTCCCCCATCACGCCTCTTTACTTTCGCTCCCACTATCTGTAACCCCTTGCGTACTAGTGGAATCCAGCCTTACTTAGGGTAAAATGTTTTTAAAAAAATCAAGAAATTCAAAGAAGCGAACTTTTCTGCCTGCCACAAACATGGCTGACAGCAGACTCTTTTCGGCCTCACGTTATCCCCTGACTTGAAATGAAGCGATGACATCGAATCAGTAGCTGCATCTACTGCAAGGAAAGTTTGGGTCACTATGCCGTGCCAGAAGATTTTTCTCGTCAGAATCCATACTGCACATTTACAATCTACCATAATATCCGTGTATTGAAAACTGCCGCCATATCTGGTCCGGTGCTCCTGCTATACCTCTCGAGATTCTTGACAAGATCCAAAGAAGGACCTGTAATGTAATCGATCTTGAACAGGCATCTTGACCTCAGTCACTTTCTAACTGATGTGACGTGGCTTCCCTCTGTCTTTTCTACAAATAGTTTGACTGCAAATGCTCTGACGACCATTTTCCCAGTTTTTCACCTCCTCTATTATCGCAAGAAGAACTGCCTCGACTGCATGAATTTAAGCATGCTACTACATTGGTATCTGGGTCCCACCCACTTACGGTTGAAATAGGTAAATACAGCCGCCACTTCTACATCCAACAGTTTCTTTTCTCGCACTTCCCGCCTGTGGAACTCTCTTTTGCTTCTTTGCAATGATCAAAAGTTTAAATGCAATCGCCATCTTCTGTCATCTTGAATCCGTTTATCTTTTGTTTTTTCTTTTCTTTTGTCTTCTCTTTCATTTTTAGTCCCTGTAATTTCCTACACACTAGTGGCATTCACGCCTTGATTGGGGTGAAATGATTAACAACCAAAAAATAACAAAAAAACATAGTGCATGTCAGGGCAATATTGTCCCAACAAAACCCCAGCGTTTCTTTAGTATCTTTAGACTTATATATGTTTCAGACCATGGAGGAACGCATCAGAGAACACAGTTTTTCCAATGATGATATGATAAAGGAGCCAAAAAGAACATGGCTAAGAAAATACTCTACAAGCTTCTACGAGTTTCATAAAGATGGCCGCGTTCAAAGATGGAATATTACGATTGAGAAGGTAGACGGCAATGTTTAGGACGGGAACTGGAATCCTAAGACTATTCTATGTTTTTTTTTTTTGTTGTTGTTTTTTTTTAATCTTTGCCTTTCTAGTGTTAAATCCGTTGTAATTAAAAGAACAGGCATTATATTTGTGGGAGATAGCTGTCCTTCGATTGGGAAGGAAAGAGAGGATTTTGAGGACAAGATTTGCAATCCTCAGACAAGTGTGTGCTTATTGGCTTCCTTTGTTTGTTTCCACTATTCAATCCCTTGTAAATAAAAGAACAGGCATTATATTGTGGGAGATAGCTGGCATGCAATTAAAAAAGAAATGGAGGATTTTGTGACCAAGATTTACCACCCTTCTCAGTGATCATTCTCCAATCATTTTTTTTTTCTTCTACTATTAACTTAAGTTGTAATTAAAGAAGAACAGGCATTACTTTTTGACTGACCCTCGCCTGTGTGTTCCCGATTTCTCACACACACGCACATACACACACATATAAGTTAATATATATATATATATATATATATATATATATATATATATATATATATATATATATATATATGTATGTATGTATGCACAAATTATTTATTGAACAACTTTCATGTATATTTATATTAATAAAAACGCATATTTGGTAAACTCTGCGCCATTGTTTACGCCTCTGGTTATAACTGAGGGTGTAGATTTGCGCCGCGGGTGCATAGTTATTGCACGACAGGGGAGCGGTGTGTGAGGGTCGTAGTAAGAGCAGTGAATTTGGTGAAGAAATAATTAAATGAAGAATGAATTTAAATGATTAATGCATGAAATTGCGGAAGGGAGGTAAAAAGAGTGATTTCTTTCTACAACATTTGTTCTTCTGAAGCGATCGGGTAGGGAAATCAGGGGAATTAAAAAATTGGATGCGAGAGAAGTGAAAGAGTGAAAGTCATGAGGGAGAAAGGAGAAGGAAAATGAAAGAGGGAAGAATATAAATAGACGAACCATAGAAGAGGAGAAAAATAACGTAAATGAGTATTTGTTGGTAAGAAAGAAAGAAAGAAAGAAAGAAAGAAAGAAAGAAAGAAAGAAAGAAAGAAAAAAAGAAAGAAAGAAATGGAGGAAGGGATGACCAAAGAAAGAAAGAAAGAAAGAAATGAAGGAAGGGAGGAAGGGATGACCAAAGAAAGAAAGAAAGAAAGAAAAAAGAAAGAAATGGAGGAAGGGAGGAAGGGATGACCAAAGAAAGAAAGAAAGAAATGGAGGAAGGGAGGAAGGGATGACCAAAAAAAGAAAGAAATGGAGGAAGGGAGGAAGGTATGACCAAAGAAAGAAAGAAAGAAAGAAAGAAAGAAAGAAAGGAGAAGTAGACCCATTGGGAAACGATATACATTGATGGGTTCAGGAAAAGATAGATATATATAGAGATAAAGAACAGACTGAGATAGATAGATAGATAGATAGATAGATAGATAGATAGATAGATAGATAGATATGAACAGAATCAGATAGATAGATAGATAGATAGATAGATAGATAATGAACAGACTGAGTTTCTTTCATTACTCACCAATTCTGATTTCTGATATACGCTTTTTACAAAATCGTTCATCTCTAAATTCTTGACCAAATTAGAAGTTTTTACGTAGTCTGCTGAATTGTTTCAAACTCGAGATATCTGAAATACTATCGCAAATGGTAAAAAATACTATCAAGGAATGGTAAAAAATCAAATGTCAGAATAATTTGTGGATTGCCATGATAGTCTAGGCCTTTGTAATCAATTCACCCCAACTAATGCAATCACTAAGACTCATGGTGACTTCTGCAGAATATGAGAAAAAGGGAGAGAAATATAAAAAGCAAGCAAGAATTAAGTAAACAGATGTTAACAATTGACATCGCATTTAAATTTTTGCAGATCAAAGTTGACTGAGAAAGTGGACGAGAATTGAACAAGCGAAAATTAATTATTAGGTTAGAACATACGGTTACATCTCTCCATTTCAACTGCAAAATGATAAGACTTTGTCGCTAATCTAGTTTAGGTAGCATAGAAAAACGTAAGATTTATTTTGCAAATACAAATATATGGCACAAGACCAAAAAGAGAGACTGCAAGAATGCTGCTTCTTTAGTCTGTCTTACCTTAAACTTAGCTAACCAAGATGAATGACCGAAACTTAACACAGTATTCCTTACATCAAAACAACACACTCTTACTTAAAATTCTTTCTACAGTCACCATAATACCTCTAGTCTCTATAAAGTCCTTACTAGTTCCCATATATACAATGTACCACAGATGGAGAGTAATACACAAATGTGGCACAAGGCCAAAAGGGGAGATAGGATGAGTCTGGTTCTTCAATCTGTTCTAAGCTTTAAACTTAGCTAGCCACAATTACTGATCCAAACATACCAAGTTATTTCTTACACTAAAACAAAGCATTCTTACTTACCAATCTTACTACAGTTACCATAATGCCATAAATTATCTATGAAGTCTTAACTATTTCCGATATGTACAATTTTTCCAGCTGGGGTGATAAAAACAACATTTACAAAAGAAGTATCAACGAATATTTACAATTATAGAGGAAAGTTGATCAGAACAATTACCATGAAATTATTTATAGAAAATGCATAGCCTTCTTACATTAAGCAGGTGGAAAAGTGATTAATTTCGGGTTGTCATGCCAGGACCAATCACATTGCAGATTCTGCTTTGGATTTTATCAAATGTCACTAAATATATAGAAGAAACACCTGAACAGGTGTGGCAGCAATACTCAAAACAACGGCGAATAGTAGAGTTATAAATATTTAAGGTAGATTCGGGAGAGAAAATTGTCTAAAATGACACGGTGAATCAACTTTCTTAGCAGAAGAACTAGTAATTGATTTTAAATAATCATTCCAGTTAATGTCAGATAAGGTGAAGTGAGTCATTCTACTGGTGGTTAGCATCAGCCATAATGATAGAAGTCAAAAAGGGTTCCGTCAGACGATTAAAAGAGAGACTTAAAAGGATATAGCGGAAAGAAAGAAAGAAAGAAAGAAAGAAAGAAAGAAAGAAAGAAAGAAAGAAAGAAAGAAAGATAGGAAGAAAGAAAGAAAAAGCAAGAAAGAAAGAAAGAAAGAAAGAAAGAAAGAAAGGAAGAAATAGCAAGAAAGAAAGAAAGAAAGAGAGGAAGAAAAAGCAAGAAAGAAAGAAAGAAAGAAAGAATGAATGAAAGAAAGAAGAAGCAAGAAAGAAGAAGGAAAGAAGAGAATAATGGAATAAAGAAAGGAAAAGCAGGAAAGAAAGAAAAAAGAAATAGAAAGAAATAAGGAAACAAAAAAGTAAAAAAAAGAAAGAAAGAAAAAAGAAAGCAAGCAAGAAAAAAGAAAGAAAGAAAGAAAGAAAAAATAAAGAAAAAGCAAGCAGGCGAGATAGAAAGAAAAAGTGTTCGCATGAGTGTGAGGGGTTGAGAGAGAGAGAGAGAGAAAGAGAAGTAATATACGGCACCCCATAATACTCTTAATACGCTCATATATTTCCTTCCGTTTTGCGAAGACGCCATTCAGCTTTTTGGATCTAATCTAAGGAGAAATTGTTATATTTAAAACGTAATAAAACTGTATTATATTTGAGAAAATATATTTCAAATCAATAATAAAATTATATTATATTTATTATATACAAAGCAACTATAATAGATTTAAAATATAAGATAATCTCTATCTATAAAAGGCAGGATGTGCGTGTGTGTGTGTGTGTGTGTGTGTGTGTGTGTGTGTGATTGTGTGTGATTGTGTGTGTGTTACATGCACATGCTCCAAGTTAGTGGGAAAGCCAAGACCGACTTTGCATTACCCAACTCCCATCGATAGTGAAAATAATCGATTTTTTCGTGTTTCTACGTCAGTTTTCATGTAATTTGCGGCCATTTTTTACTGGCCAGAGTGAGAGCCAATAGCTGGCTGCCACGAATAAGCAAGAAGATTCTATTGGCCAGCGTGAGAGCCAACAGCTGACTGACACGAATGCTAACTAGTGTTGCAGACCCGGTAGCATGCAGTGCTGGTTTATTAAAAGGTGGCCTTGTGCCAGACACTACTTATGACTACCGAATCCACAAACAAAGTAAGACTATTAAATGAGTGATCTTTAGTGAGGAAAAGGGGTCATTTAACACATCCACAAAAATAGTAAAATATAGATAGCCAGGATTAAACGACAAAATGAGTCTGGTAAAAGAACAAATATAAACTTTTATTATTTTTAAACAAGTAAATTGTCTCGACAGTGGAGACCATCAGTAAAGTTACTGGATCTTTGCAATTAATGAAAAGGTTGTGACAAGTAGTCACTGAAGGAATGTCAGAGTTCCGCGCCAAAACAGAAAACCAAGATGGCTAAGGCGGGAAAAGTTCTTCAGGGAGAAAGTTCTAGAACAGTCAATTTATACGGAATATTATACATACAGCAAAGAAAATACTCACTGCGAGTTTTGTTAGTGTGAGTGTTTTTAAGGTACTGGTTCGTAAGGGTTAGAAGTTTCAATGGTGTATGAACAGTTTATCAATCTTCTTCAGTGAAGGAAAATTCAGAGTTGTTCGCATCAAGACGAGGAATTTAGTCTTGGATAGGTGTGAGGGAGACCGTGTTGTAGAACTCTGGTAGTGAATAGAGGAAAGTTCGAAAGCTGTTCGCATCAAGACGAGAAGTTGGTCTTGGAAAAATATATTGACGACGGTGTCGTAGAACTCTACATTTTCTAGCTGAAAACGGAGGAAAGTTCGACATGCTGTTTGCATCAAGACGAGGATGAGTCTTGGAAAAATGTGATATCGACATGTTGAAGTTTTGGTTAGTTAAGAATAAGATATTCCGGCCCGCGTATGGGTTAAGGACACGGAATAAATGAGTTGACCTGCTAGCTTGAAAATCAGGCCGCAACTAACTTGAAAACTCTATTCGTCTGTGACGTCAGGACACGCGCGGGAAAAAATTCAAATTGTGATTTTAGACGTTATCAGGAGTAGCTAGCTAGCAACCTCCCTCACGTCAGCGTTTACTACTATGTCTTGCTGAACGTGACAGGAAGGGGTGCAGTCCGCGCGCGCGCACACACACGCAAAAGGGTGGAATTCACGATTCCACACTAGCATGCTAGCATGCAAAAAAAATCTGCATTCGTCACAAGTGGGAAAAATTTAAATCTCTATGGCTCTTTACTCCAATTGGCTCATTTCGCTTGCTTAAACTCAACGTTGATTCTGATTCCGCAGAACTGGGTTGGGTGTGAAAAAGTATATGTTGTTAACATTCTTTTTTCATTCGGTTTTTCCAGTTACGATACCCTTTTTAAAGCTGACCATTTTGTTTAGTTCTTTTTTCGTAACAGATTTAATGTTTAGTATAGAGCTTAGAAAAAATTCGCAGTGTGAGATAGGCAAGAAGTAAGGCATGTAGCAACATCAGCACGGCAAAGGGCACTCCTTTAAAGGCAAGGAAGGGCAAAGTCAAGTCAAGTGATAGCGATTGCTGTATGAGTCGTGCGATTTTTGAATCAAGTACGGGCAACGCCGGGTGATGCTGCTAGTTAAATATATATAAAAATAATGAACAATAGAGTAATAAATAGCGGTTACTATAAAAATGTATTATTCCGTGAATTATTCAGATTAGACGGAGCCGAGTTCGAATTCCAGTCAAATCCATCACATTCAGTTACGTGCTAATACCCTTCGGAAAGGTATGAATCCTATTCTTAAACTCCAAGCTATGAGTAAATAGTAGGACAGACAGGGTGTGACGTCGTCCCACGGTCGCAGCGTCGACTGTTTCGTTCGATCCCGGTCGCGGCGCCAATTGTGACGTCACGTGCTCCCCAGGCTCTGATATCCTGGTCACGGACAGCACCAACTGTGACGTCTTTGCCGCGGCGTCAGCTGTTCGCTCCTCGCTGCTCCAAACGTGACGTTCTAACCCTTTGGTTAGATTGATACCAGCCTCGTCGTTCACAACCCGCTTCCAACGCCTGGTTACCAGGGTAACTGCACTGATCTCCAGTCTGCCTACCCACGTTGTGAATTGATCTTAGACAGACGAGATCAAACAGGGTTGGGGCCGTAATGCAAGTTGAGTCTAACGGGAGTGATAACACACAATTATGTATAAAAAAAATAAAATAAAAACTCACAAGGTCCAACGTATCAAAGAAAAAGGTAACAAACTTTTTATGTCTATTTGCTCGGTACATAGGACTATGTCTACTTCCCGACCCGTTCTGTGGATTGTGGCACGACGCTTTTACTAGGCAACTTTAAGGCTTCAAGTTGTCTGCTCTCTAAGAAATTTGTGTTTCGGTGTGTCTTTGGACGAAAGTCGAAAAAAACTTATTTCTGTGGTCTGATTCTAAGTCGCTCTTCAAACTACTTGTTCTTGGTTGAAGAAGAGTCCAGAAGTGTGCGTGAATCTTGGTCAGCTATCTTGACGCGGTTTCAACACTGGGCGCTCATCTCTGCTTGTCGTCCACGGCTCAAAACTCTTTCGCCGTCCGCTGCTCAAACTCTAACTCAAAACTCTTCAGAGTCTGAATTACTGGTCACTCATCTCCGCCGTCGGTGCGCGAATTAACTTCTTCTCTTCAGAGTCTGAATTACTGGTCACTCATCTCCGCCGTCGGTACGCGAACTAACTTCTTCTCTTCGGCTTGGGTCGGACGAACTTCTTCACTTAGGCCAAACGAACTGGCCTCTCTTGCCCGCAAAGGGCGAACGAACCTGGCCCGCCGTCCGCGGCTCAAACTGATTTCTGTCGGTTGGGGTTTCGCTTTTATTGACGCTGTCAAAACTGGGGTGGGTCTGTCGGCGCCAGTGGTTCTTCGATAATTCTAAATACGTATCCACACTTCTTATTTCTGGTTAGGTATTTTTCATTCTTTTCCATTTTCGGTAACTCTCCTCTCACTCCCACTCCCTTACTGTGCCTCTGAGGGGCGTGTATCCACTTCCCCGCTTCTTCGTATCGGTTCCTCACACTTACACTTCTGATAGAGGCGTCGACTGATTTTCCTCGTGCGTCATGTGACCGCTCTCGGCCAATGAGGTCCTGGTCGGGTATCTTTCCTCCTCCTTCGTGTGTCATGTGATCTTATTTAGCCAATGACGTCTTTAGTCGGGCGTGGACAATCCGTGGCTTTGTTTTGGGAAAGAAACACCTTGCTTGAAAAACAAAATATTAATTTAAACCGCCCTTATCATGAGCGACTACGATGACACCTTCGGCTTTTTAACACGTGGTATTTGTCAAGCAGTTTATCGCTAATTGGATATGACCTAAGAAAGGGATTTCTCAGACCTGTTGGCGTTTTTTTGAACGAAATAAAAATATTTCATTTTCCTCCGGCCGAAGGTCCGATAATAAAAATCTTTATTATCTCAAAAAAAAATTTTCAGCGACATCATCTTGTGTGGCATTTTCCAATTCTGGAGATTTGTCTGGGTTTTCGTATTAATGGTTTGCCTTCATATCCTTAGATACACTTCCCCGCCCACTTAGACTTTTACTATCAACCCAGTGACACACTTTCCACTTGTTACTTATCAATATTTTTCATTGTCCCTAACTTCGTTTCTTCAACCAATTGATAACAACTTCCATTTTTCCCAGATCTCGGTTAGATGCTTGACCTGGATATTTTTCGACACCTGTTATCTGTCAGCCGTGCGAGTGTGTGATCGCTTATGACCTGTTTTCGTATTATTTTTTCTTTCTTTCTTCTTCGTTTTCTCTTTCCTTCTTCCAGATCGCTTGAACGTAAAGAAAGAATTATTCTTAAAACCCAAAATATTTTTCGGCCCTAAATAATTATTAAATGGTTGATAAACCGTAAAAAACAAGTCATATATCTATGAATATTTCTTTCCAATCGTCAGGATGCATGGTGCCACAGGGTTCTATAGTCTTGGATGGCAAATGATCTACCGCAGAAAGAAAAAAACTACCCTGTCATTCATGTATCGAAAGATGAATGATGGCGTAAACGTATATGATGGCGTAAACGTGTATAACTGACTGAATCAAACTATATTTTATTTAAGATATATAATGCAACTTTATTGCATTTAAGAAAAAACTATATTATATTTAAAACATTTAGTAAAACTATATATTAAATATAGATAATCAAAATATATTTTATTAAAGATAGATAATAAAATTATATTTTATTTAATATATATAATAAAACTATATTTTATTTAAGATATATAAAACTATTCTTTATTTAAGATATATAAAACAACTATATTATATTTAGAATATATAGTAAAACTATATTGATAGCAGATGACAATTGGAAAAAATCTTAGTTTTTTGACGACGCGTTTCGTCTTCGGACTGTTTCAAGGCAAAAATGCAATCAAAATATTTTTGTTGTTATAGTTACATTACAAAATCCAAATTTAAAAAAGAGAGAGACGCTTCCGCGTAAGCCTCTTTCAGGCTAATGTAAATTTCCTTTATACTAAGAGTTGTTTTATTCTTTCTTTCCGTGTCGACAGTATAGTTAAA